GGGGAGCGTGCAGCCACGAGGACAGGTGCGGCCCACGGCGCACGTGCGGCCCACGGCCCACGGGGTGCAGCTGCTGCCTCTGTGTGACTGTGGCCGTAGGCCTAGCCGGCCGTGACACGCGTGCGCATGCGCGCCACCCTGCCACGAACATGTCTACATGACTCTTAAAGGCAGAAAGCGAAGGAAAGTAAAAGATAGGAGCACAGAAGGGAAGGAAAGGAAGAAGGGGGAAGAGAGGGAGGAAGGAAAGGAGGATAGAAAGAAGGGAAGGAGAACAGGAGGAGGGAAGGGGGGAGGGAGAATGGGAAGAAGGAAGAGAGGGACGAGAAAGAGAAAAAGGAAGGGAAGGAGGGGAAGCATTATGCAACCGAGAGCTTCTGTGGTCTAAAACATCTAAGCTATGACTGCGGGGCCCTCCGCAGGAAGTGTCTTCCAATTAATATGGGACACTCCCTTTTGGACAGAGGGGAGGGGAATTTTGAAGACGGCTTTGGAACCCAGGCTGCCTCAAATGTCAATCTTTCCCACTTCAGCATTCTGCACGATTTCAGGCAATGCCCTATCATGTCCAGCTCTACAACATTATATCAAAGTGAAAAGAATGTCAAGCAACAAAACAAAGATTTCTGTTCATGGATCTGTATTCTGACTTCTGAGGAGAAAATCTGAAGCATATCTGTCTCATCTTCTAGGAGATTAAGGTGGCAACCCTTGCTTATACCCAAGACTGAAAACCCCTTGGAGGAATTCACTTCCCTGCAACCCTGAAGTTAGGCAGGGCCCCATGACCAGCTCGGAACAGTGTGATCTGTACTCTGGCCTTCTCTTTCAAGTTGTAGCTAGGATAAGATCATGCAGTGGGGTCCACAGGTACACAGACTTCAGAACTCCTACTGACCCAATGAGAATGCAGCACAATGCAAACATGACCGGAGTTGTGGACATTGCTTGTTACCAGAACATGCCTCGTGTAAACTGACTGATGCCTTCAGTGCTACAATTCACTGGCTCTTGACTGTTCTCCAAAGGCCTGTGTGCTAATGGCTTAGTTGCCAGGATGGAACAATTGTTCCATCTTGGAACAGTTGAGAAGTGGAGTCTTGTAGGAAGTCATTGACCCTCTAACCTGGCTCCCTCCATGATGTGTGGACTCACCACAGACCCAAAGCAACAGGGCCAAACAAGCATGGGTGGAACCTCCAAAACGGTGAGTCGTATTGTTTTCCTCTATGAGTTTATTACCCTAAGTATTTAGGGATAATGACTGGAAGCCAAATAACACCATTGTTCAAATTGATTCTGATCTTTTTTTTTTGGTCCAAGACCAAGATTTGAACTCCATATCAACTGAGCCATGCCTCTAACCCTCAAACTGATTCTGAAATATGAAAGTGCACATCAAGCAAGGGGAGAGATTCAGTGTCCAAAATCAGCCGTGTGGAGATTCCATTCAGGAGGAAACTTAAGTATTTGTTAGTTAATTCCACCGTTGTTCAGATTTAGAAAATAACTAACCATGATGCAGGGACTCTAGCCTATAATCTTAGCTTCTTTTTTTTTTTCTTTTGTCAGTCATGGTCCTGAACTGGGTGCTGTCCCTCAGCTCCTCAGCTCAAGGCTAGTGCTCTCTACCACTTGAGCCACAGCACCACTCCTGGCTTTTTCTGCTTATGTGGTGCTGAGGAATTGAACCCAGGGCCTCATGCATGCAAGGCAAGCACTCTACCACTGAGCCACCTTCCCAGCCCTAATCTTAGCTTCTTGTAGGGACAGGGATCAAAGAGATCAGAGAGCACAGTTCAGCCTGGGCAAAAAGAAGTTAGTGAGACTCCATCTCACTCAACAGCAGGCTGTGGTGGTACCTGCCTCCCATCCCAGCTCCAGAGGAAGCTGTGGCCCTCTACCTGGTGTCTCCAGTGGATTTGAACTCAGGCGTGAAATGAAACTTTACCTCAGAAACAACCAGAGGTGGCTCATGCCTGCAATCTTGCTACACAGGAGGCTGAGATCTACAGATTCTGGTTTGAAGTCAGCCTGAGCAAGAAAGACCATGAGGCTCCTATCTCCAATTAACCACCAAAAAGCTGGGAGTGGAGCTGTGCCTCAAGTGATAGAGCATGAGCCTTGAGCAAAACAGCTCAGGGACGATGCCCAGACGCTAACCATATTAACAAAATACTTGCAGTCAAATATCAGATTGTGGAAAGAATAGTACCATAATAACAAATTTACCTTCTCAGCTGTACCCATCAAGATAAAGTATTACTTAATGCTGCTTTTCCCTTCGGAAAGAGGAATATTGATTTAGCCTTTCAAAATAAAAGGCATTTGATTTGTTAATGTTTTAAAAATCGTATTTTAAAAAGATAATGCCTTCAACAAGCAGACTGGAAAAAGCAGCTGCCAGATCTACACAGAGAGACATGTCTGTCAAGTTCATGGTCACTGTGACTTAGTGCAAGTCCATTCTATGACCCAGATTTGTTTAAATGGCAGAAGCAGTTACCACGTGCTCCCGGAAGGGTCGTCGTTCCCAAAAGCACTGAAAGAGCCGTCGTCCCTCTGGTAGAGAAGTTCTCTTTGGTAACCTGAAGATAACAAACATCAACAGAGTCAACTTGCCATGAAGGAAAGTGGCCAATAATGACATACAACTAAAGAAGAAAACACCTCCTCCACCTCTAATACTGAATTTTCTGTCCAATTACTTGTACAAGGTTTCCTAGTGATTTTAGTGTAAAGCTTATGTTATCAGATATCATAATGGCAACTCCTGCCTTCTTGCTGAGGCCATTTGCATGGTAGATCTTTCTCCATCCCTTCACTCGGAGTTTGCTTTTATCTTTGGCCGTGAGGTGGGTCTCTTGAAGACAGCAAATTGATGAATCTCATTTTTTGATCCAATCTGCAGTGCTTTTTCTTTTGATTGGTGAATTGAGTCCATTCATATTTATGGTTATTATAGAGAGGTATATTGTATTTCCTGTCATTTTATACTTTCCTAGGTTTTTCTTCTTTTGTACAAGGTTTCATTCTGCCCTGTCCATGTGTGTGTACAATGTACCCACCATACACGTTCCATCACCTCCCCTTCCCAAGCCAATCTCATGGTCTTCATGGGTCCATTTTCACAAATGTACATAAAGTATCTGAACCATATTTGCCCTCCTTCACCCTTTCTGCTTGCCCCCTCCTCTCACTAGTACCCAGGACAGGACCTGTTTTATATTCCTATTTAATGTTGTTTCATTTCTTTTTTTTTTATTTTTGTGCCAGCACTGGGGCTTGAATTTAGGGCCTGGGCACTGTCCCATAGCTTTTCACTCAAGGATCATACTCTATCACTTAAGTCACGGCTTCGGGGTGTTTCAGGTTTTTCTCAGTCATGGGGCTTGAACTTAGGGCCTGGGTGCTGAACCTGAGCTTTTTTGCTCAAGGATAGTGCTCTGCCACTTTGAGCCACAGCTCCACTTCCAGTTCTTGGTGATTAATTAGAGATAGGAGTCTCATGGACTTTACTGCCTGGGCTAGCTTCAAACCTAGATCCTCAGATCTCAGCCTCCTGAATAGCTAGGATTACAGGGGTATGAGACACCAGCACCCAGCTGGCCCCAGTTTTGTTTTGTTTTTTAATGGCTAATTGGAGATAAGATTCTCACAGATTTTCCTGCCAGGGTTGGTTTCAAACCATGATCCTCAGATCTCAGCCTCCTGATAGCTAGGATTACAAGCATGAGCCACTGGCTCCTGGTTCATTGGTTGTTTGAAATGTGTGTTTACATTGAGTACTTTCTATGTTAAAGACTGTAGGAAATTTTAAATACCTAAGAATTTCAAGAAAAATGCAGGAAATAAGAACTGTTACTATCCAAAAATTAAAGTAAATTCAGTAGGTTATGATTATCTAAAAGACATTTCCAGCCACCTAAAAACAAGCAAAAGCCAGATGCCAGTGACACCTGCCTGTAATCCTAGCTACTCCGGAGACTGAGGACTGAGAATCACAGTTGAAAGCCAGCTCTGGCAGGAAAGTCTGTTAAACTCTTATCTCTAATTAACCACCAAAAAGCTGGAAGAAAAGCTGTAGAGAACTAGCGTTGAGTACAAAAGCCCTGAGTCCAACCAAGCTCCAAGACTGGCACAAAAAAAAAAAAAAGATGGCATTCAATTTCACTCTCTGCTATTCACAACAGCCTCAGTGCTTCGTATCTAAAGTTATCTGCTTTTTAATAAAGATACTACAAGGGCTGGGAAGGTGACCCAGTGGTAGAGTACTTGCCTTGCATGCATGAGGCCCTGGGTTCGATTCCTCAGCACTCCATAAGCAGAAAAAGTTGGAAGTGGCACTGTGGCTCAAATGGTAGAGTGCCAGCCTTGAGCTGAAGAGCTGAAGGACAGAGCCCAGGCCCAGAGTTCAGGCCCCACACTGACCGAAAAAGGAAGGAAGGAAGGAAGGAAGGAAGGAAGGAAGGAAGGAAGGAAGGAAGGAAGGAAGGAAGAAAGAAAGAAAAGAAAGAAAGAAAGAAAGAAAGAAAGAAAGAAAGAAAGAAAGAAAGAAAGAAAGAAAGAAAGAAAGAAAGAACATATAGTATTGTAAATGAAGGTTAAGGCCAAATCAGAAAGTACTTTTAGCTGGGGGCTCACACCTATAATCCTAGCTACTCAAGAGGCTGAGAGCTGTGGATCCCAGATCAAAACCCAGGCAAAAAAGTCCATAGATTCTTAGCTCGAATGAGCCAGCAAAAAGCTAAAAGTGGAAGTGTGACTCAAGTAGTAGAGTGCCAACCTTGAGCGGAAAAAGCTTAGAGTGCCAAAGCCCCGAGTTCAAACCCCAGAAGACACACACACATACACACACCTTAGCCTGGTTTAAAGTCAGCCTTGGCAGACACATCTAGGTGGCTCTTGACTCAAATTAACTAGCAAAATGCTGGAAGTAGAGTTGTGGCTCAAGTGGCAAAGTGACAATGTTGAGCAGAAAAGGTTGAAGCCCTGCATTTAAACCCCAGTACTGGCATGTGTGTGTGTGTGCACACGCACACACATATACAGGGAAAAGAAAAGAAAGCACTTTTATTCCTAGGCCATCAATAAAGAAGAGGGAAATACCAAATAATCTGAGACAATGTCTCTTAAGTTTTCTGGTCATAATTAACATAGGCAAACCAAAACTCCAAATTGTGTGCCTACCATACCAATTTCACTTTTCCAAATTAAAAAGTATTCAGCAATGGTAATTATTACTAGAAAAGTAAGTTGAGGAGAGGGTTAAGGCTCATGTATCTGCTTTAGAAAAAGCAGAATTATTTCAAACAAAAGGCAGTTTCATATCTGGAAAGCAATGCATACAATTCTCAACGTCAGAAATCATAGCCCAAACACAATCTACTTTTGCCCTTAATTCCAAGCTATTCTCCTTGAGACTTCCAATAGAAGTCCAACATCCGAGAATCTGATTCAACACGTGCTAAGACAATCTGTATTTAAAAAATAAAGACAAGAAGAGAAGTTAAAGAAAGCAAAAGCATAAAGATAGACTTACAGGGGCTGGGAAGGTGGCTCAGTGATAGAGCGCTTGCCTTGCATGCCTGAGGCCCTGGGTTCGATTCCTCTGCACCACATAAGCAAAAAGAAAAAAGCCGGAAGTGGCGCTGTGGCTCAAGTGGTAGAGCACTAGCCTTGAGCTGAAGAGCTGAGGGACAGCGCCCAGGCCCACAGTTCAGGCCCACGACCAGACCAAAAAAAAAAAAAAAAGATAGACTTACAGAAAATTGCTCTAATAAAAACAAAGATATAAAGATAAACTTACAGAAAATAGCTCATCTTCCTCATTTCTCAGATGCAATCAAGAGACTGCAGCGAAGCAGACTAATGTGTTAAGATTCACAAACAAAATGGCAGAAGAGTCTAAGATATTCTCCCTCAACCTGCACTTGAGGATGAAACCCACCAGATAGCCAGAGTTCAACTGGGAAATCAAAACAGGAAAGTGACGATCTGTGGAAGAGAGGGAAGGTAAGGAAAGAAGGACGTCTTAGGGTCTTCCATTGCTACAGAGGGTGCTTCAGTGAGAAGGACTAACCTCAAGGAAACCATGGCCTCCAGGCCCCCACACCCCAGCAACAGCTGTAGTTCCAAGTATGAGACATTGTAAACGCACACAGAAAGCTGAGATCATGGAGATGACATCGGTGCTTATGGAAATGCCTCCAACATCCCCCATTCGTATCCACAACTGGCACCATCCTTCCGCAAGGGGCAGTCAGCCCAGAGAAGAAGAAGGGCCACTAAGAATCTCTAGCTGTGGGGTGCATTTCTTGACCCAGTTTAGGTAAAACTCAAAACCCATACTTCCAGCTCTACTCCCATAGAAAATTAGGGAAAAGAAGCTACGTGGCTCATGTCTATCATCTTAGCTATGCAGGAAGCTGAGATCTGAGGGTCGTGGTAAGAAGCCAGCCTGAGCAAGAAGGTCTGTGAGATTCTCATCACCAATTAACCACCAAAAAGCTCGACATGGAGCTCAAGTGGTAGAGTGTGAGCATTGAGGAAAATAGCTAAGCAGGCATACGAGGCCTTGAGTTGAAGTCCTAGCACTGGCAAAAGACAGACAGACAGATAGATACATGCATACATACATACATACATACATGCATGCATGCATGCATGCATACAGATGAGGGAAACAAAATTGAGAGAAGAGAACTTGTATGATCTCTTTGTGGTAAACCTCAAGCCAAAGCAGCCATGTATGGAAAGGGATTCTCCAAACCACACCAGTACATCAGGACTAATATCCACTCCAGAAACAGAAAGGGCCACTGTGGACAAAGCCATAGAACTTGTTGTTAAGAAAACAACCCTGGGGCTGGGAAGGTGGCTCAGTGGTAGAGCGCTTGCCTTGCATGCATGAGACCCTGGGATCGATTCCTCAGCACCACATAAGCAAAAAGAAAAAAAGCCGGAAGTGGCGCTGTGGCTCAAGTGGTAGAGTGCTAGCCTTGAGCTGACGAGCTGAGGGACAGAGCCCAGGCCCAGAGCTCAGGCCCCATGACCAGCAAAAAAAAAAAAAGAAAAGAAAAGAAAACAACCCTGAGTGAACAAATGCAACAGTGGTACTCACTAGACACAAAGCTGAAAATGAACTATACGACTTGTGGGCGGGGACGGCAGAGGAAACTGGGAGAAAACGAAGGAAGAGCTGACAGTGTCCAAAAAGAAATGTACTTATTATCTAATTTATGTAACTGTAACCCCTATCTACATCGCAGGATAATGCGTACATTTCTTACCAAGCATTGCAGCCTCCTCCTTTGTTTACCCTTCACATCCCTTCCCAGCCTCCCCCCTCTCCCTCAATCCCAATCCTTCTCATTCCCACCTCCCCCCCAAAAATAGTTTTTTTAACTTAAAGAAAACAACTCAACAATCCAGTTTGCTCACCTAAGTTGGAGCCTTTTTCTCCAAATAGGTAAGTAAGTCAATACATGGTTTTCTACAATAGTTCACAAAGTAGTAAAAGTATGAATTATAAGTTTAATAGTGTTATGACTAGCTCTTGAGTTTAGAAAGTAATAGTATACTTGTAATTATTAGATACCTCCAAAAACTGAAATTAAGATGAAGTTAAGGGGTTGTGAGAATAATAAGCTATGTTTGTAAAAGGTTAGACATACTTTTCTGGGTTAGTAAATTTCCTTTAGTCCAACTAGGAATATAAAAAAATCTCAGAATCTATTTCTTCTATTAAAAATGAAAAGTACTGTCTGCATAAAACATTCTGGGATGGAATGTGGCTCAGTGGTTGAGCATTTGCCTAGCATGTGTGAGGCCCTAGGTTCAAGTCCAGAACTTCCCAAAAATGTAAACAATTTGACTAAGTAAATAAGAGTAGTAAAATCAGCTCTCTGTGACTATATAAAACAAACCTGATTTTTTTTTTTTTGGTCGGTCGTGGGGCTTGAACTCTGGGATTGGGCGCTATCCCTCAGCTCTTCAGCTCAAGGCGAGAGCTCTACCGATTGAGCCACAGTGCCACTTCCAGTTTTCTCGTGGTTTATTGGAGATAAGAGTCTCACGGACTTTCCCTGCCCAGGCTGGCTTTGAACCATGATCCTCAGATCTCAGCCTCCTGAGTAGCTAGGATTACAGGCATTATCTATACTAAAAGAAAAGTTGCCATTGGCTGAGTGCTGGTAGCTCTCACTTGTAATCTCAGCTACTCAGGGAGCTGAGATCTACAGATCATTGTTCAGTGCCATCCCAGGCAGCAAAATCCATGAGACTCCAAATAACCAATCAAGAAGCGGGTAGAGTACCAGCCTTGGGTGGAAAAAAAAACAAACAAGAGTATGAGGCTCTGAATTCAAGACCCAGTATCAACACACACACACACACACACACACACAAAGTCATGATGAACTTCCATACACCTATGACAACCATGGGAAGCCAGGCCTGGCAGCTTTTCTGGTCTTTAGCTTTTTTGCTGAAGCCCTCCACACTCAAACTTGGACCAAAAAGCCGGAAGTGGAGCTGTGGCTCAGCATTGGGGTTTTAAAGCCTGCTGGGTTTTCACTTCAGTAGAGAAATCCTCCCAAGTGCTCAACCAGACGGGATCTAAGTCTCTCTTCCAAAAATTTGAGCAGCAGGCACTGTGATTTCAATATCTGAGGAAAGTAGGTGGCTTCATTCTTCTACATGTGGTTTGGGGATTTCTAGTTCTTATCAGAAATTATTTCATTCAGGAAGTGGCACTGTGGCTCAAGTGGTAGAGCGCTTGCCTTGAACTGAAGAGCGCAGGGACAGCGCCCAAGCCCAGAGTTCAAGCCCCACGACCGATCAAAAAAAAAAATTATTTCATTCATAGTTCTAATTTCCCTTTATGACAGCAAAATATACTTTATTTAATGAGATAGCTGTTGTTCTGACCCCTCCCCCAAAAAGGGGTTAGCTCACAGACTCCTGGGACAAGCATGATTTAAGTGAAACAATGTGCTATTTGCAAATAGCATTTAAATAATATTATCATGACTCACACCGAAGCTACTTTAATTTCTTAAAAAAAATTACACTGTATTTACAGGGTTTGGGCAACTATATTGGCAGAAGAAAAAGGAATCTATGAAATGAGACACTGATTTCATCGTGAAAAGATGACTGGAGCAGGAAACTGCTGCTCACTATTAGAAAATACGATTGGACTCAGCTTATGAGATGATGTAATTTTTGTGTGTGTCTTGAGCCACGTCTCCACTTCTGGATTTTTTCTAGTTACCTAGAGATAAAAAGTCTCACAGACTTTCCTATCCAAATGGGCTTTGAACTGCACTCCTCAGGACTCAGCCTCCTGAGTAGCTATGATTACAAGAGTGAACCACCAGCTCCTCGCAGAGATAATGTATTTTGAGGAGTTCAATTTTGCTCACTTTCACCAGTTCGAAAGATAACACTCAAACCACTGGTCACATTCTTGACAGGGCCAAAGAGAACAATGTCTACAGGTAAGTACTACAGGAAAGCTCTTCACAGCTCCTCTAGGCCTAACCTTCACACTGAGTCAATGAACCTTAAATTCAAGGAAGTTAATCTTGATCATTCATTCATCCAATGTAAACAATTTGACTTGTATCAAAATCACATGTAAATAAGAGTAGTAAAATCAGCAACTATACTGGCAGAAGAAAAAAGAATCTATGAAATGAGACACTGATTTCATCATGAAAAGATGACTGGACCAGCAAACTGCTGTTTACTATTAGGAAATATGATTTGATTCAGCTGTACGCCTCAGCTTCACCATCTGTAAGGCCAGTATGATGCAAGTACTGGTTGTGGGCATTTAAATCGATTTTAGATGTAAAAAACTTAGAACACTGCCTGTCTCAGAGTGATTGCTCAACTTACGTCAGCTCTCAGAGGGAGGCTGAGGCATGGCTTCACCACTCAGAGTCAGAATAATCTTAAACTCTGCAGCTTTCCCCTCTTCCTCCTCCTCCTCTTCCTCCTCCTTCACCTCCTCCTTCTCCTTCATTTCCTCCTTCTCCTTCATCCTCCTCCTCCTCCATCTCTTCCTCCTCCTCCTTCTTCCTCCTCCCTCCTTCCTCCTTCTCCTCTTCCTCTTGTTCCTCTTCCTTTTCCCCTTCCTCTTCTCTTTCTTCTTTGTCATACCAGTTCTAGGGATTAAACTCAGAGCCTGAACACTGTCCCTTAGCTTTTTTTTTTGCTAAGCTAGCACTGCACCCCTTGAGCCACAGCTCCACTTTTTTATGGTAAATTGGAGACAGGAGTTCTACAGACTTTGCCACCCAGGCTGACTTCGAACCAAGATCCTCAGCTCTCAGCTGCCTGAGTAGCTAGAATTACAAGCATTACTTTTCTGTCACAGCCCCACCTGCTGGTCATGTGAACCCAGAGCACCAAAGCAACCTGGCACGGGAGATACGCCATCAACATGCAGTGAACACACCAGCACCCATTCCTCCACAAGACTGCAGACATCTTCAGAAACCAATAGTGTCTTGATAGCTCCTCTACAACATCCAGTACAACTACCACATACCGAGACAAAAATCCATCCATTTTGAAATATGATCCCAAGAGCCAGGTGCTGGTGGCTCACGCCTGTAATCCTAGCTACTCCGGAGGCTGAGATCTGAGGATCGTAGTTCAAAGCCAGCCAGGGAAGAAAACTCCGTGCGCGTCTTATCTTCATTTAACCACCAGAAAAACAGAATTGGAGCTGTGGCTCAAGTGGTAGTGCATTAGCCTTGAGCAAACAGGCTCAGGAACAGTGTTCAGGACCTGAGTTCAAGACCCACGAGCAACACAAAAAAAAGTAATTCAAGAAAACTCTGCTGAAAACAAAAAACAAACTTTAAAAAAAAACCATACTTGGAAAATGCTTACCTTGCCTCATAAATGAAAGGGCTTTCTCTTTTATGTTATCTGTCAGGAGTCTCTTCTTAGTCAGATAATCCAAAATGTAAATATTTGGAGCAAAATTTATCATGTTCTGTTCACCACAACCATACGGCATCTGAATCAAGGAAGCTAGGCCATTGATGGAAGGACCAAGAATATCTCCTGAAAACACAAAAGTATTCCATTTATTCAGTAAATATGCATACGCAACAAATGGCTATTTTCTGCTGGTGGCAGAATCTTCCTCTAATCAAGATGCGTCTATCCCTGAAGCAACTGGAAAATGGTAGAAATTTCCATCAAGTTACATGGACAGAAGAATAATCAAAACAAGAGACAACATGTACATCTGTGGGTCACACCCACAATCCTAGCTGCTTAGGAGGCTGAAATCTAGAGAATGGTGATGTGAGGCCAGCCCAAGCAAACAAGCCCATAGACTCTTGTCTCCAAAATAACTAGCAAAAAGCAGGGCTGTAAGCATAGCTCATGTTGCAGAGAGCCAACCAACAAAGCAATCTGAACAAATGTGAAGCCGTCAGTTCTGACCAAAGTACAACCAACAGAAAAGGAAGAAACAGGAGGAGGCTGTGGTGGAGAAGGAGAAAGAGGAGGAGGAGGAGGAGAAGGAAGAAGAGGGGAAGGGAAAGGGGAAGGAGGAAAAGGAGAAAGAGAGAAAGGAGAAGGAGGCAGTAGTACTTGAATTAGAGATTATGTGATGATCTCATTGGGTCTGAATCAGAAACTATATCTATAATAAATGAAAGAGCCAGGCACCGGTGGCTCATGTCTGTAATCCTAGCTACTCAGGTGGCTGAGATCTTGAGAAACACGGTTCAAAGCCAGCCCGGGCAGAAAAGTCCATTAGACTCTTATCGCCAATAAACCACTAGAAAACCGGAAGTGGTGCTGTGGCTCAGTCGGCAGAGTGCTCACTTTGAGCTGAAGAGCTGAGGGACAGCACCCAAGCCCAAAGTTCAAGCCCCACAACCGACAAAAAAAAAAAAAGATGAAAGATAGATATTATCACATACAAATAGACCTGCCACATTCTGTCCTTACCCACTGTGGTGATCTGAACTCTCTCACTGCCACTGACTGTATCAGGAGGAAATGAGAAGCTCAAAGTTTTCAGGGTAGTTTGTTGTTTGCTGTCAGTCAAGTCTAACAAGACCGCTTGTGAATATGATTTTTCTATTCCTTCAGCCTGTGGAGAAACAGGAGCACATTTAACAAGGTCTCTGCTGGTCTATTTACGAGAATTATATGAAGATACGACAACAACTCTCTGCCCTATGAGACTATAGTTTGGGTAGAGCTACTTAAGTACCTACCATTTCTTGATTCTGACTACAAATCTGTTGAATGTCTGCTTTCTACTTAGAGAACACATTTCATGGAACAGAAAGTGACATCACAAAGGAGAAGATGAAAATATGATGGAAAAACTCTCTGGAGGCCTTGCTCAAGTGGTGGAGCACCAGCCTTAAGGAGAAAAGCTGGGGACAGCACCCTGGCCCTGAGTTCCACCCCTAGTACCATCAAACACACACACATACACACACACAGTTTTCTGTGTGCTTTGCATGTATTTCCCTCTTGTTTATTTAAGACTCCAAATATTTACCTTTACTAAAATCCTCTGGGTGACAGCATCAGAAGCCGTGGGTGACATGGCTTTGACTGTGATGGGAATTTCCCCCAGCTGCATGGGCCTGACAGGGAAAAGCAGAGATACCCCATCCTCACCGGGGACCAGAGCCGTCTGCTGATGCCCCGTGCCATTGATTTCATTGGATGTCATCAGAATGTCGAATTGATCACTTTCTTCAATGACTACCTTAACCTGAAGAAAAAAAAAATCAAAGATTTTTATATAATAAATGTTCTTCAGTAAAGTATTGTCTGTTGAATCTGTACACTTCAAGACCAGGCAAAGGGGAAACAAAAAGAAGACAGGGTATCAAGGAAAAACATTTACTTCAAATACTCTCTCCTAGCTCCGAGGGGAAATGTATTTTAACAAGGTTTTTCTCTGAAGCCCAGGCTAGCCTGGAACTGGTGACCAACCTGCCTTGGCCTCCCAAGCACTGGTATTACAGGCGTGTGCCACCATGCCCTGCTACAGAACTCACTCTTTGGCTTCACTTCTCATTTTTTCACTAACAGCAAAGACTCTCATTATGTACTCATTAAAAGGTAAGGTTGTATACAAAAGCTATTTTATATTTCATCACTCCAAATCTTTTTTTTTTGG